CCAAGAAAATTTCAATATCGTGTTCTTGAATCAACATGAGAGCTGACTTCAAATTATTTTAACCTACGAAAAGAGTAATGAATAATTTATTACCGTCGTAATTACAGTCCCCACATTTAATTATTTATCGCCCCCTCCTTAAAAGTAATTTAAATATGCCCCGTCGTAAGACAAAACAAATGAGAAATAAATTTATTAGGTTAATAAAGAAACGGAGCTGCATTCGCCGATGTTAATCAGCAATAAACTTCAGAAAGTATGCCAACTGGAATATTTTTAATTGTCCGTAATCACGACACGGGGGTAAAACGCGGTTACCATTGTACGAAAGGGGTAAATTTAACGATTACTCGATCCGACGCTACTTTGCAATCTTCCGTCTGTACAATTTCGTCCCTTGTCATCTCCGCCAAACGGATCGTGCTCTTTGATCATCGTATCACAAGAAACTTCCATTTTTTCTATTACCAGAATCGTTTCTGTCCCCGTTGCGGAGTTGTTGCTCCGCAACGTACGTTGAAATCATTTCAACGTTCTATTTCGCCGCAATCAGATGCACAAATGCCTGAAGTTCCTTTTTAAACGCGAATATTTTAATGAACGCGACTCCTATGATGGCGGACCACGTACTCCGACGATTCTTTCTCCTTTTGTCGCGCTTGTTTTCGCGTTTCGAGAAACAGACAGGTCGAAAGTGGAGGACCGAGAGGGAGAGAAAAATAGAAAGGAAAGTAGCGACGATTCTTTCAGCCCCGCGAGCTGAAAGGTTAAAAAGCACAAAACCGAAACTCGATAGGCGTTCGTCGGTATCTGTGTGAACATCTGTCACAGATACGCGTCGAACGACAGACGAGATTAAAGAATCTCGTTGTATCGCGGATCGCTTCCTTTTTACCTCTGCGGCACACTTTCTCCCTTCTCGTCTCTTCTCGTTTTTTTTTGCCTTCTTTTATTCCACTTTATTCCGTTTCATCCGGGACTCTGGGAAAAATCGAACAAACGGCTCCAGGCAGAATATTCGTCGCTGATTCTTTCCAAACGCGATGGTAGTTTCCAGCTGAATAGATTCGCGAATTGCGTAAAACGGCCATGATCAAATACACGCTTTTTGGTATTAGGTATTTTCACCCTGCATTCCTAAATTAACTGTTATTTCGTGTGTGACGATATAGGGGCAATGTATACTAATGTAGGAGTGAACCTAAGTACCATCGCCACGGATTATACTCCTTGTTCATTTTTAACCCCTTCCGTGCCATTTATTTAACAAATGCGTCAGTCAAGACTAACCACACAGGGCTATAACACTAGAACGAACAAAAAAAATTAAAATGTAACTATTTTATATTCAGGGATCCTTGATAGTGTAACTTGTAGCTGGACCTAAATTTCAAGTTGAAGAGTATTCAAAATTTGAGTAAGGTTTGTCACATTTGAGCTGTAAGTACGTCACAAGTGAGACTCGTCAAAGTACGGGAAGGGGTTAATTTAATTCTGGGATTTAACTCGGAAGTCTGAAGATTTAGAAATTTTCGACGAAGTTATCGAATTTCTGCAAAATCAGTCTCCATGAAATATACTCGAAAACCATCAGAACCATTTGCAGAAATAAAATATTTATTCTGTCGTACAAAAAGTCGAAAGAAAAATCAGAGTCCCAATGCAAAGAAGTTTGGAAAAGCCGGCACGAATACATAATTCTCTCGAATAAACCTCGAAGGAGTAGAATAAAATCGTCCGTTCAACCCGACAGAAATTGATGGTTTCCACTTATTTTGGTACAAAAGCGTGCTCGTTTTCTACCCATTGTGCCATTGCGTTCATTGTTCCGGATACCTTGAATTTTGACACTTCTGCCATTATATCCGGCCGGAACCATGGAGACACGTCAATGGTGCTTATTCGCATATCCCTTTGAAAGGGTTGCGTATTCGATTTTGTTCTAATCGACAATCCAGCCACCCTTCTTACGCTGCAGACGACAGTGATTCGTGTATTGTCGTTGCTAGGACAATTGCTTAGCGAAAATAAACGGAACGACTGTTGTTCCATACTCGCACTTAATGTCCAGCCGGGAGTCCTCTTCAAGGTGAAAGAGTTGACACCTCTGGTGGAATCCTTTATCTTACGACGTACTGTCTTCGACACCCTGGATCGTGAAACGTCCATTTAATCGTAAAAATAATTATCGCAGAAATAGTTTGTAGGTCGTTTAAATTCACCGGTACTCCTAACTTTTCAGTCAGAAATTTTGTTCGTTTGCGAGTTGAGTGCTAGACGAAATTGTTAGCACCACAAATTTACAGTTTCTAGGTACTCGAATTTCCAGGTTGAACGTCTCTACATTTAGATTTATGTAAAAATTTATAATAGAGGTTTTTCAGGTCTCAAATTTTAGAATTTTCAGGTAGAGAAGTTGTTGAAGTCCCCAACTGATGAGTTCACCAAATTCACCAACTGATCAGTTCTCCAAAAGTTTAAGTCATCAAATTCCTAAATTTTTAACACAGCTCCCAATTTTTCAAATTTCACAGATTCCCTAAATTCCCAAATACGAAAGTGAAAACCAGGATGTTAGCTGCCTAAAACTCCCGCCTTCAGAACTCGAAGAATCCGAGTGAGACTAAGATTCTGGCTTTTACATTTATCAAGTAGCTCTTTGGAGAAAGAAGAGCGAGTGTTATCTGATTACTCCTAACCCACTCATTCGTCCAGTGACTTGGGAAATCCATTAAACGGACACTGTAATTCATAGTTTCGGACAGCAAGGATCTCTTTTCAACGCGGCGCATTGAGAAAAGAAAATTTAATCGGGATATTAACCCAGAGCGCGCAGAATGAAAATGGACCCCCATAGACGCGCAATATGTCTACGTCGAAGGTAACAATGTAGTCCTCCCCCGTAAAGAGCTTCTACACGCGTCGAACGCTTTGAAAGCGATGCGTAAAGGTCGGGCCAGAAGATATCGATATATTATAACGCGTCTTCTGAAGACACTTTGATACATCGTGTAACCAGAGAGGATTTTCATCCATTCAACCTGTAACTGTTACAGCAAGCAAAACACGAGCGAATTCTTTTCTTCGCATTAACCTCCTGTGGTTCTTAGCGGGGTAAGAAGATTGTTCGCACGGGTAGATCGGCAGTTTTCATTTGTGAAACAGCGGGGTTTGAATGTAATGATGCTATTTTCAATTTGACGAACTTGTCTTTCGTAAACAACCTTGTGTAAACATGGAGGAATGAGGTTGATTCAACCCTTATGATCACACATGTCAATTTACACACAGGTCAATTTATACACATGTCAATCAATTTACTTATTGTTAGTTGTAAATATAATTTAGTAGATAATTAAGAGGGACAAGAGGACATTTTTAATTATAAAAACCCTTAAATATCCATTGCATATTTAAACCTAAACTGATTAATGAAATAAATTACTGCAATAAAAAACATTTGTCGTCTCGAAAGATTTTATCTTGATGAAAATAAATTTTCGAAGATGTGAGTAAGGTTTAGTTCTAAGAAATGTATTTTATGAATGGAAGTGATATCTTGAGCTCACACAATTGGGAGTATGAGTCAGGCACTTAACACTCCGATACAGAAGTATCCGTAAATGGAGATTTTGTTCGTGCGTATGAATATAAATGATTCATTCTGATTGAAACGGTACTTGTGGAAATTTAAAGTGTCAGGAATAAAGAATGAAACTTGTGGTGCCTTGCAGCGTCCAGAACCTGAAATATGTCTGCACGAGTGAATCGATATACCGACCTAATCTGGGTGAAACATCACTCCGAATAATTTTGAATACTTTAATAAGATATTCAGCTCATTACTGAATGTTAATATGAATGTTTAATTCATAAAAAGAGATATCATACAAAATTTCTTGAAGACAAAAATATGTGATAATAGAGAAAAAAATGTTTACTTGTTATATCGAGATGTGTAATGCAATTAAAATTAGCAAGACTACGAGTAATATTATGTAACTGATAAAATTGGAATTATATAAGTACGAGTATTGCAAACTATGAAGTTCTTTTATCAATTTCGAATTGCTTTTATGTAACATGGAATGATGAAATAGTAGTAAGCTGATAAAAGAATGGAAGGATCGGTGATAAAACTGTTGGATTTCGGATGCAACGAATGGTGTATGTGTCAAAGCGTCGATTTCATCGATCGTTCACACGCTGACATTGCAAAAGCATCGTGCTCCCGTAAATTTTCTACCGTTTCAGTTGAAAAATAGCGGGAACACAAATTTCTCCATCACTGTTTCGTGCTGGTTCATACATTCGGTTAACATCAGTATTTTTTATATTTTTTGAAAAAATACCTCTGTTTACCGTAACAAAATTACTAATTTGATTATTGCTGCCATTTTACCGAGAGATTGAATTTTCAGTCAATTTTTGCAGGCTGTACCAATAATTATAATTTAACTTTCCAAGAGAATTCTTTTAGTCGTTCTATTAAACTTAGTAAACTTAGTAAACTTCGAGTATCAAACTTTTTCCATTAAACATTCTCAACAAAAATTTGCGCACTAATAACGTATTATAAAATAATTAATTTAATCAGCTGAAAATATCTCGCAGCTCTATTTTTCTATATTTTTGTATAACAGCTTCAGAAACAATACTTCTATCACCATCTATAGGTGAGTGAAGATACTAACACAAAGTAGAATTTTTTTATAAAATAATCTTTTGTGCTTTATTAACGCAAGAGTAGTAACGAACAATGTCCGTAATAATGGGTATGATCCGTCAAAAGACTTTGAATCAATATTTAATAACAATTTTTTTCTACGAACCCCACAGCAACCGGCCAATAATTTGTAGACTAAATCTTGCTTATTGTTCTTGAAACTCTAGACCTTTGCATGTTATCGGACTCGCAGAACCTATTAACAATAAAAATCAGTAGTATAGATTAGTATCAACCTTTACAATCAATCGAATTGTTGTACGCATTTCAGTGAATGGCCGCCAGATGGTTTGTTCGTGTTCCCTGTTGCATACGTCAGTGAACATACGCGTGGCTTTGAGGCAGTTTCGTAAGTTTGAGATGACCCACATCAGAATTCGGTGTTTAATTTCTTAAGATTATATTATGCAGCATAATTAACGTTTAGTCGCATAATTAAGGATAGTTTGAATGAAATAAAGCGAGAACAGAAGAGTCTAATGACTGTTTCGTCTAAGGATGATGCATCTACAACATGACATTGCCTGTTGCATTTCAGTTTTATTTGTTTTAAGTGCTGCCAAAGCGAGTCTTCAGGACTACTTGAAAATTCAGGTAAATGACAAGAGTAATTGTTATGACTGAAAAAAGAAACAGCTATGGAATAACAATGTAGAATAATTTAACAAGATGTCCAATATTATTTTTACTATTGCAGCAAAAAGCTTTACCTTTGCCTGATCAAAAGTTTGGGGTAAATGAGTACCCTGAATATCCTGATAACGATGAGAGGGATAGAGGATCTTTGGCATTACATTGGAATCAAATGCCTCTATTGTATAAGAATGGCTATTTACCCAAAAGTACAATAAATTCAGATATCTACAATTCAGATGCATTAGACAAAAGTGGGTAAAATATTTGATAACTCTACAGAATTTAAGAAGCTTGTATATATTTCTTTTCTTCGTATGTGCAGATATAGTATGGGATTCCCATTGGGCAAATAATACAAAGTTTGGTCACATATCAGCAGTATCAATAGACCCAAATGAAAACATTGGAATATTTCATAGAGCTGGACGAATTTGGGACATTAGTACATTTGATAATGAAAATAGATTTGATAGAAATAAAGGACCAATTCGGGAAAACACTATAATTCTTCTGGACAAGACTGGAAGAATAATATCAGAATGGGGTGCAAACATGTTTTATTTACCGCATGGTTTAACAATAGATTCTAATGGAAATTACTGGGTTACCGATGTAGCTTTGCACCAGGTATTTAAATTTGATGCTAAGGATATAGCAATGATGGAAAGTGCAAAGAAGATAAAGAAAAGGCAATATAGTCAAGAAAAAATGTTTTCTAACGATGATGATGATGTAGATAGCATGTTTCAAGATTATGTTCCTAAACCATCACTGATTCTTGGAATACCTTTTGAACCTGGAAATGATGACAAACGGTTTTGCAAACCAACAGCAGTGGCTGTACAGAATGATAATGAATTCTTTGTAAGTGATGGTTATTGCAATTCCAGAATTATTAAATTTAATGCAAAAGGGGAAAGAATTTTAAAGTGGGGCCGACATTGGGGAGAAGGAGGTAAATCTGTTCTCCATATGTATTTACTTAAAGAATAACAACCTATCATATTTCAAATGTATCTTATTTTGCAGGAAGCATGTATGAAGAAGTTCCTCCACCAAATGCATTTTTTGTACCTCATGCTTTAGCTCTTGCTACTGACTTAAAATTGATTTTTGTTGCTGATAGAGAAAATGGACGAATTTTATCTTTTTCTACAGTCAATGGAACATTCCATAAAGAATATAAAAATCCTGCTGTCATCGGTACAAAAATTTATAGTGTAGCATACAATAAAGAAAAGCTTTACCTGATCAATGGTCGTGATCCAACTCTGAATTTTAATGTTCATATACGAGGATTCGTTCTTGATATTCATTCTGGAAATATATTATCTCAATTTGGACCAAAAAATGATATGGACAGTCCCCACGATATAGCTGTGTCCGATGATGGTTCTGAAATATATGTAGTAGAACTGAACATACACACTGTTTACAGATTTTTACAAGGTAAGATAATGTTAAATCTTTATAACTAAGTAAAGCAAAGAAACAATTCATAGATGTAGAATTTTTTTTTGACAAGAAAACATCTAAGAAATTTAAAATGTTACTTTTTGCAGACATAAATTCGTCGACACAAAGTGGAAATTCAGTGACACGCATAAACCCTCGTCATGAACTAGCACCATTAACGGATACTAACTCTGATAATTTTTCCTCTGGAGGTACTACAACTGCAACATTAGTCTTATCCCTTGTTACAGCAACAGTCATTTTTATTGCCCTCTGTGTAGCAATTGCTGCAGTTGTAGCAAGATGTCAGAAAAGAGGTAGATTGTTTCAGTATGATGAATCTGCTGTCGAATTCTCAAAACTAGTCGAATAAGAATATTCATTTGACTAATTTTGGGTTATTGAATAATAGTTGTGCACGCATGTTGATTAGTTTAGCCAGAATCAAACGTTTGGTAGAAATTTTATCAAATCTAGTTAATTTTAGTAATCTTATACATATCATTTAACAAAGCAACTTCTTAAATAGCCAGTAAAGGAAAAAACAACCAATGATTTAAGATGTATGAAAATCTGAGAACGTACTTTTGTCTAGTTTGCTAAAAAATAATTAGCATAAAATTTGACAAACTTCTGTACTGGCTTTGCATGTATCTCTTATATAATACTATTTTACAATTTAATAGGAAATCCAAATTTTTGTAAACTTTAGCATTTTTATTTAAACTATAAAAAACGTGGTGCTTTGTTTTATTATTTCTTTCAGTTTCACATATTTATATCATAGGAGCTGTAATACATTATTTTCAATTTCTGCTTCATACTTTACACTGTTAAGTACTTTTAATGTAAATGCATTTACAATCTTTTTATCAAAGATTGTTTTAAAACTAGGCCAGTACAAGAGGGTTGCATATAAATGTACAATTTACTTAAGAGAATACCAGTCTAGTATTTACAATTTCTACTCCAAATATATTTGAGAGTATACTTGTGCAAATTATTACTATAATACAGTAATAATATTTAATATTACTATTCTGCAAAATAACTATTTGAGTTTCTAGACTTTATCATAGAAACAAATGAAGTAGTTTATTCCTAAATTGGGATCAAACGATGGAATATTAATTGATTAGCTTTCAACTGTTTAACTTCCATTTAAACAATAGAATATTTAGTAATTTATGTACTTATTATGTAAATATTGTTTACACTTTTCTGTGATCGCACAAATGTAAAGATAATTCTTTTATTTATAGACCAACTATTGAACTTTATATTGTATACAAACCAAGAGTACATTGTATGAAAAGCTGAATGTTTTTAAGATTTTTTGACATGTTTTTTGCGCATACTCATTTGAAAACATTGCATTTTTTATTTTGTACTTGTATATGATTATTTATTTATTTTAGATGCTCATCTTGTAAAGGCAAATATACATGTTTTCATTTCAACAATGTTTTTTGTTATTCCCCTTATTATCCTCTTTAACTTCAGTAATATTCAACAATAATTATGTAAGTATTTAACGATACATAGTGCATGATGCTTCAAAATATGTAGCTATTAGATTTCAATGCAATTTTACATGTTGTTGAGAAAATTTTAAATAGAAAACAATAAAAGAGATCAGAGTGCCATTGTCACCAAATACAAGTACATTCAAAACCAAATGTTTTCTAATTGCAAATTTATTTGTTGTAAACAGGGTGTTTGTTAATAATGCGCAAACGAATGCACTGGGAAGCCGAGAGGCGAGAAAACTTTAAACTGTCGGGTCTGTTGGAAAACAGAAGAGGCAAAAGCTTCAAGATATTGCAGAAACGGCCGAACCCGCGAGACTTTAGTAAATTGAACACGGAACCGGAAACCTCGGAGGATGAACATCCAGAAAATAGTTTTACGAAAATCATTTAATCGTATCAATTTTGACAAATTCATTTTCGACATATTGTCTCTGCATGTGGATTCAAATATGAAATGCCATGACATTTCGTGAAACACGTTTCAATTGCGAATTCATAACTGTCTTCTGAGAGCACACTTTCACTCGTTTAATTAAGTATGCGTTAGTTTAATTAAGACGTAATGGTGAAATAGATTTAATTTACTAAAAAATTAATATAATAGCGGGTACGACTTCGCTGTGCATTCGTACGTTACCATCATTGTAACCGATCGAATGTAATCGACGATGACTGAAAGTTCCCGCGTTTTACAAATATCTACAATATCTATCTAAATATCTTATTTCGAATATTATTTATTTGTTATTTTACTTACCTTATGTTGCATCCGATACTGCACGTTTTAGGCACATTTCTATCAATATTTCTGTGAATAAAGATATTATAATCCTTCCCTTACATCCGACACTGAGAGACAAGTTATACCGCGTTACATATATGTGGGTGTTCTGTGTGTTGGCAGCAAATTTAAAATTAAAAATGCTTTCGCGCTTCTGTTAAGTAAATAGATTCGACAGTTGCTTTTTACGACTACGGTGCAATTAGATACTTTAAAAAACTGCCGATATTTTAAATGTTGTTTTTCGTGACTGAATTAGTTTTGTAATTTTAAAAACTAGTTTTCAATAGAGTTTCTGTGAAGATAACTGGTAAAGTGCAACTGTTTAAAAGATTGAATTATTTTATCACTTCAAACATTGTAACAAATTATTTATCCTGAATAACGTTAAAGTTTATGTAAAATAATAGGCGATAGAGAATATTCTATTTGTTGAAAATACTAATTATAAAAAACTTACTGTATATTCCATATTTAAAGGAATTAATCATAAGAATATTTACTTAAAAATACTGTAACTTACCTGATAATAATGGCCTTGCAAATGATATTTAAAAAGCGACCAAATTCTTGTTGTATGTACTAAGGTACATCATGTAACTATCTGCCGTAAAGCATTAACATATCCTTTTAGAAATACTGAAAGCATAACTGCAGTAACTGTATCTTTGATTGTCTTTGTCTTGTAGTCTCTTGTTTGCACTCATACAAATGTGTTCAATGAAAGAGTATTTTCCTAGTACCTGATCTAGCGAGCTGAACATTCATCTTTACTATTTTACTTCTTCTTCAAATATTGATTGAACGTTCGATTAACATTGTTTTATTTCTACGCGCTACGGATACTATGCATAATACTATAAACATGTACTCTTCAATATGCAAATGTATATTTTCAAATAAAAATGGTGTTTATACTGCTATACAATTGAAGAGTCATTGTTAGATGATATAACGCGTGGTGATATACAGGGTTACTTTTAGGTAGTGATTTATTTTACACACTTAGTTGTCCTCTGTACATGACTATAGAACGATGAAAATTAAAATTTTGAGACTTGCGAGTTTTGGGAGTTGGGAGTTTTGGGACTTGGAAATTTTAGGACTGGGGAATTTTGGGATTTAAGATTTTGGGACTTGGGAATTTTGGGACTTAAGAATTTGGGAACTTGAAAATTTGGACCTTGGAAGATTGGAACCTTAGAAGTTTGGGACACTTGGAAATTTAAAACTTTAAAAGTGTAAAACTTTGAGAATTCAAAATCTTGCAAGTTTGGGCCCTTGGAAGTTTGGGATCTTGCAACGCTGGAACTAAGTCAGAGGACTATGGAAATTATACTACTATACAATCGAAGAGTCATTGTTAGGTGGTATAACGTGTGGCGATATACACAGGGCTACTTTTAGATAATGATTTATTTTACACACTTAGTTGTCCTCTATACACAACTATACAACGATAAAAATTAAAATTCTTCTATTTATCACTAATTAAGGTCATCGACGATAATGATTTGTGTTGAAGATGCATAAAGTCAGTCCACTCTGGTGCAGCACATTTTATCAAATACGTGTTAATCGCTCGCAAACGGACCAAAAGAAAAGAAAAATGTCCATAATATAATCGTTGCAAAATATCCACGCAATTCAATTCGATCGTTTAACAAGCACGACACTTCCACCAAATCATTTGATCCACTCACGCAGGTGATAATAAATAAATATTACTGTCTTTCGCGTGTTCAACTATGACTCAATTACACTCGTAAGCACCGTGTTCGGTTCTTATTTTTAAATATGTATAAAAACGTGACAGTCGGTAGCTTAGAAAATATGCACGACGGAAGGAAACGAGAACGAAGAGGAAAAGAACGAGTGAACATTAAGGAGGTGATTAAAGTTCAACGTTTAAAATATTGCTTGGACACCTTAACACTTTTCTTCTCTATACGGAGAAACTGGCTTGATTAAAATTTCATTACATTTCAGACTGCTACTAGCTTATTAATATCGTACTTTAAAGAATGAATTCATACGCTAGATTACTAGGCATGACTAAGTACGAATCAGGGTAAATCAGCCTCAAAATACGGACTCGATTGTTAACGAAGAACAAAAACATCGAATATTTGTTATTCAAGCAGTTCCGACTAGCCAACAAAATATACCACATTAGGCTAACGATATTATTTGCGAAACAGATTCCGTAAAACATGTGAATTGGCTGTTCTTAAAAGTTATTGGTTCACAAATATACTCAGTAATAATATTTCAATGTTAAGTCAATACGTTGAAAAATATGCAGAGACAAAAATTGCTACCCCCATTGGAAAGTGTTGAACCCATCAGATACAAAGAAATTTCTTTTTATTAAATAATCACCACCCTAGTGAACAGTCGAAAGTTCGAGTATAAATTATTTCATCCCGAACACAATTCACACCAGCAGGATGATATACCTTGAATACATCCTCGTCACGCGGTCATACCACATTCGTTAATATTTTTTTATCTTTCATGTTTGTACATTAAAAATCGTATACGTTTCGTAGTGATACACTGACAACTGCATATTCGTTAATTTCATGTATTATCACTAAGTTGTACCTAAGACTACCGTAAATTCGTAACTAGAATAATCGACGTTCGTCGTCGGTCGCGGTCGCTGCTGGTACCGCTTTTTCCCTTTGCAATATCGTGTGCTGGTCGCTGTTGGAAGAAATAAAGGGAACAGCGGGCCCAAAATATCACAATGTCCAAGTATACTCGCGTTCGTTCTTAAATGAGATATCGGGTCCGCTTACAATATTCGATTATTATTAATATTAGACGTATACTCTATTTACAAAACTTACGCCTCGGTATACAACAACAGAACAATCTATATTTATAGCGTTCTAGGTTTGCCGGAAATTGCGATATACGAAGGTGCTAACTTGTAGTTTAACCCCCGAATGGTATTCACTGAAAATTACTTTGTCAATTTCAGATTTTAGAAGTTTGGGATTTGGGATCTTGCAAATTTGGGACTTTGGAAGATTGAGACTTTAGAATTTTGAGACACTTAGAATTTAAAACAAAGTGTCGAACTTTGAGAATTTTGCATCTTGTAAGTTTAGGACTTTGGAAATTTGGGACCTTGGAAGTTTGGGCCCTTGCAAGTTTGGGATATTAGAAGTTTGGGACCTTGGAAATTTGAGCCCTTGTAAGTTTGGGACTTTGGAAGTTTGGATCCTTGCAAGTTTGGGACTTTGGAAGTTTGGGCCCTTGCAAGTTTGGGGCTTCGGAAGTTTGGGACCTTGCAGATTTGGGATTTTGGAAGCTTAGGACCTTGCAAGATGGAATTTTAGGAATTTTTGACATTTGGAAGTTTGACACCTTGAAAGATTGGGACGTTGAAAATTTGGGATCTTAGAAGTTTGGGACCTTGAAGAATTGGAACCTTAGAAGTTTGGGACTCATGAAGGTTAAAAACTTTGCAACTGGGAATCTTAAGAATTTAGGGTCTTGCAAGTTTGGGACTTTGCACGTTTGGGACTCTGTAAGATTGAAACTATGAAACTTTTGGGATTGGAGGTTTAGGACTATGGAAATTAGGGTCTTGAAAGTCCAGGTCTTCGCAAGTTTAATTTTATAAGTTTAAGCACTGGAAATCTTGTAATGTCAAATTTATTAAACTTTGTGACGTAAAGTTCGAAAATATATAACTTCATAATTTTGAAGTACTGACTCTGCAATTTGAAAGGTTTGCAAAATGATACATTACAAAGTGATTGAAAAGACCTATATTAGTAAGTCCACTAACACAGTGACTACCAAAAAAGTGTCAATTTACAATAATAAGAAATTTATTATTCAAATTGTCAATTTACAATAAAATTGACAATAAATGTCAATTAAAAGATTGAAGACTAAAAACTGAAAAGAATGGTATTGATGCACCGTCCGAGGGTTAATTACTCGAAATACTCTATCCTCTCATGCAAGATTCAACGATACACACATACAGCCTGTTATTCTCGAAGCGATCAAAACTTCTTCAGATAGCCAGTTGCCTGATACAAAGCCGAACAAAGAGACTAGCTTCTTTTAAATCGTTATTAAAGCTTGATGCGATCGTTGAACAGGCTCCGTGGTCATTTCGCGTGAACGTGTGAAATTCGCTGAAAATCGAAGGATTTCCTTTGGTTTCTGACGGATTCGTAAAAGGAACTGCAAGCTGGATCGTGTGCTAAACTGGTCAAGTAAAAATAACTTAGCCGTTTAATTGTACGCAATACTTACCGGTAATGATCATAATTTTTTACTATATTTACAATACCATACATAATTACTATAATAACTTGTCGTATACTTTTCGTCACACCGTGTCGCGAATTCTTACGTGTAATCCTAAAAACTCCATTATTGAAACAGTACGTAACGCATATAATAAATTAATCGTTCACGTTCAAACAAATACTCGTTTAGATTGCACTTAACCTTGCTTCAAAGATTCTGAAGATTTAAAGTAAACGTTCAAATGAACGTTGAATCTGTAATCGGAATTGAAGGATGTGCGCGACTTCCCGTACGATTCATCTTTCTTTGTTTCTTCAAAAACAACGAAGATGTCGCACGGAAACTCTTGTACATCGAGTTTAAAATTGTCCGACGAGCACCGGTGACAGCGTTAATGTATGCATATATTAAGTAACCAGTGTTGCACAGCTTCTTCAATGTTACACGCAGAAGTCGTTTTCTATTACATCTCAAACCTTCCGTTTCCACTTTATCGTCCTTTCGAAAACTTCCTCTTTCTTCAGTTTCACATTCTGAACTTCACGGTCACGCGTAGTGGAAGAAGAAATGCTTAGCTTTCTTCGTGATTGCACCACGTTATTTGTTATTAGTTTGTTATATTGGAAGCTAGGTTTTGAGCTGTGACGGGCAAATGACAGGTTTACAGGATTTTTTAGTTTCCACATTTGCAAATTTTGGGATTCACAACTTTGTCAAGTTGTACACTGTAATTTCCGAATTACTAAATTAAACTTGAAAACAATTTTCACAGACCACGAACCATGTACACCATGTCCCGCACTCTGGCGGATACTACCCATCACTACCTCGAACCTCGAATCCAACGTTACAATTATAAATGAGAGAAAATTCGTTGTAGCTCATCCTTAGATAAAGGATTATCCCCAAATTTTCCAGCCTCGAACATAAACCATGAGGAAAAGATCACGTAGTGGTGAACCACGAAATAGCAACAAGTATTTCCTCCGATCACGCGTTACCCTGCACATGGACTGCCCGGAAGGGTCTCGTCGTCCACCAAGGGAATCGATCGTCCTCGAAATCCCCGATGGAACCAGTCGTAGAGTAAACGGAGAATCCCGGAGCAGCTCAGTAAACGGAATTGTACTCTATGTCGTGGGCATATTGAGGTGGTCCTGCTGGCGGTGGCGGTGGTTGTGGACTGTATTGTTGCGACGTATCCGAGGCACGACGCCTGAGCGCCGCGATGCTGTGGGCGTCTCTCCAATCCGACGCTTCGGTCACGTTCACGTCGGCAGCCACACAGGAAACACCACCGCCGCCACCGCCACCGCCTCCGCTACCGGAAGTCGTCCCTGGCGAGCCCTGACCGCAGTTCAAGGCCGATCCTAGACCGCCACCCTGACCTCCGCCCACGCTCGAGCCTCCTGGAGGCGAACCCCGAGACGCCGTCACGTGCACACCCCCTGCAAATTATAATTTAACCTTCTTTATCTGACGTTTAACCTTTTAGGTTGAATTCTGTTGGACTTAAGTATTGTTTTGTACTGAGGGGACAAGAATGATTTTTACAGGGTTGAACAATCTCAATTTGCGATTGCAAAATGGATGCATAGAATATGTCACAAGGTAAATTATATTTTAACAAATCGCTTTGACCAGTTTGATAGTTTTAGTTAGAGGTCACATTGCTTGAGAGTCGCATGCAATATATCTTTATTATTTATTTCGAAATAAAATATTAATGTAAAGATGTCCACATGTTTTATGTAATAAGCTACTTTCATATATACATAAACTGAAGAGAAGTTAAACTGATATTATGTTGTCTATTAAAAACTTAAAAATGTTAAATGGAAGTTGTCTAATTTTTCTGCTATCACTTTGTGTCTAATAGTCATGTATTGATGTCCATATTAATACACATGCGTTGGCATACTCAGTGCAATGTTCAGCGTCGTTTAAAACTACTTTTGTTGTAGTTAACGTAAGAGTTGTCGCTCACGTGGCAGCATCTAAACAGCAAGATCGACATCGACATATTCGTATTATTAATGTACACGAGTATCAAAGTTGCTCCTACGACTTCAGCTTTGCAAAGTAAGCGACAACCTTAACTCGATAAACACGTCTAAAACTATCAAGCTGGTCAAAGGACTGTAAACAATAATACAAAACTATGACACTTTTGAAACCTATAATAATTTTTATCAAGATGAAGAAACGATGAATATACTTTGTATCATTTATTTATCATTCTTCTGTACTTTTAATTTCAAATCAAATGTAACTAAAAGTACATAGTAGTAAGTTAAAAGTAAACAATACCCATAACTGAAACGAATACACAGTCTATACTTAAACATTAAACTACATATGTGATCCAGAATTCAAAAATTAATATCAACGAACAAAATTAAGAAAATCAGTAGTAGAATATAGAAACTAGAAGACTCCAACATCGTTAATTCGTGAATCGACTATCCAGAAGTTCCTGTAGTCAGGTAGCGAAAGGGCAATTCACAAGTGCGTCAGGTACACGGTAGAACGTTTCCCTTCTTCGCGGTAGATATTAATACGGTAGACTCACAAAGTGTTAGGGGTAGTGCTACCGGGTGTTGTAAAGTCGTTTCCGTATCCACGTTGGTGGGCTCCGGGAGAAAAACAAGGAAAAGGGATCGTTTTTATGACGGTATCGTTGCGAGTACACGGGTTTGCGGACAGTTGTCCCTTTTAGGAAGCTTTATGGAAACAATGGAATAACTAATGGACAACTGATTCCGTGGTGCTTTTGTAGACGGCTCGATCAGCGTCCATTGATAAATTGTACAATCTGCTAATTAACGGAATGATTAGTTATTAACACGCTGCGGCGGACTCAATTAATATTAATTATTTTTTATTTCTTTCGTTCGGTCGTGTGAATACATCGCTTTCTCTTTTTCGAGAGTTATGTGGTTTCTGGGGGGAAAGGAGTGAAAGTTTTTGTTATTTGGGGGTAGGAGGATTAGGGATTTGGGGAATTAGAGGGTTGGAGGATTAAGGATTTGGGGAATTAGGGGGTTGGAGGATTAGGGATTTGGGGAATTCGGGGAATTAGGGACTTGGGAATTAGGAAATTGGGGATTTGAGAATTTGGGATATTGGGAACTTGGGGACTTGGAGATTTGGGGAATTAGAAATTTGGTGATTTGAGAATTCGGGGAATTAGGGATTTGGAGAATGAGGGATTTGGAAATTAAGAATTTGAGGATTTGAGAATTTGGGAAATTGGGAACTTGAGGGCTTTGAAATTTATGGAATTAGGAATTTGGGGATTTGATCATTCAGAGAATCAGAGATTTAGGGAATTAGGAATTTGAAGATTTGAAATTATTAAAGTTTATATACTAAGTCCCCTAAAATCAAAAGCAGACCTCCCCTACACTTCACCCCCACAGCTTATCTCAATCCCAAACATACTATAATCGAAAGAGGTCTCAGGGGGTCGATCGCGATTCGAAAGTCGGGCATTTTTGGCCACAGTTAATTTACACCTCGTTCTTTCGACCGCCGCCACTAGACGAGGCTAAACAAAATAGAGGCCCGTAATCGACTCGAAAACCGGTGAACCTCGGCCACGCTACCGTTCGATGCTAATCATCGTCAAAAACCGAAAAATAAGACGTTTCTCTAAAAGGTGTTTGCCTTAGACATTACCGACGAGTAAAAGCGGATAACTGACTGTGGTCAGCCACGGTGTACTGGCATCTACCTTAAAGCGAGTCCACATGAACCACACGTATGATGAATCGCGTCTGTGGAACGGTAATTTTTTTCCTCCTTCTTCTACTGTCGGTTGACGCTACCTGCCCCGCGGCGATAATACGTGATAATTGACACCTTGTACGTGTTACGTATGTACACACGTACGTTCGCGTTTGAGACACGCTCACATTAGTACATTGTGAAACTGTGCTACACCTAAAGACAGTTTCGCCATCGAACCCCCGTCCTTTTTGCAACTAAGTTTCGCTTGATTTCATATGAAGACATATCTGACACTTTAACTTGTTTGCTACCGTCAAATGGTGATTTGAATATATTTCTTATCACTTGAGATAGGATTAATATGTACGTGTATAAAAACATCTGTGTGATTTTATATTCTGCTTTTCATGATTATAATTTAGTAGTGATAGGTTTAAGCCGAACCATATTAAGTCACACATGTGAGCATATGTTATTGTTATTTTATACAATTATTTTGAAATCTAAATGAGAATTGTTTTGGAGTAAAATAATTACTATTGGATAAGATGTAGTTTCTGAAGCATGAAAATCTAACTTCAAAATATGATAGATTTAATATATTCTGCATTAGAGTTCATATGTGTTCACGTGTGTGAAGTACAAAAAACGTCTAAAAGAAATAATGCTGTTTGATCTATGTACATTATATCGTACAGTCTATTAAAATACTGGAAGATAATATTTCAATCGGTATTTATATTTAACAGAGTGAAACTTGACGTACCATTACTATTTCCGTCCACCATAAGTGATGTACTTCAATTTCAACTATCATACGATCCAATTTTTCATCGTAGACACTGCTTTTCAATTATCGCCGCAAAAAGCTGTTGTAATTGAAGTCATCGGAAATGAACAATGAAATATTGAAAGACTGACAAAACGTGATTCCCTTTTCATCGAAGGTCTATATCGGAAAAACTGATCTTAGGTGTTGTTGACCTCCGTGAGCGGTGATATCGAATATACCGGTTATAATTAATCTGTTTAGACGTGTCACTATGTATTTGGTGCTGACGAAATCTGATATGATGTTTTTAAATATGAATCACTGTGACAAGGAAGAAATGGATGGAACGAGGAAGATAAATGATTAGGAAAAATGTATAGTTCAATTATGGATTTCTGTTTCACCGACTTTATTTTATTTCTTATTTAGAAAAAATTTCGCGTTCGAAGAAAATTATTTTTGTTTTTTCGGGTTATTGGGGTTAATAGTATTATACTGTTATAGGATGTTATTGTGAAGTGTTATTTTTTTGCGTGTTATAGAGACTCGCGTTATATTGCTATATGTTGAATTACTACGCGTTATATCGCCGTATGTCGAATTATTACGCGTTCCGAATTATTACGCGCTATATCGCTACGCATTCCGAATTAGTACGCGTTATATCGCCACGCATTCCGAATTACTACGCGTTATATCGCCATTTGTGAAATTACTATGTGTCCCGAATTATCTCGCGTTATATCGCCACGCGTCCCGAATTACCTCGCGTTATATCGCCACGCATCCCGAATTACCTCGCGTTATATCACCATGCGTCTCGAATTACTGCGTGCTATATCGCCATTTGCCGAATTACTACGCGTCCCACATTACTACGCGTTATATCGCCACGCGTCTCGAATTACTACGCGTCCCACATTACTACGCGTTATATCGCCACGCATACCGAAATACCACGCGTTACATTGTCACACATAGATAAATTAACACGTATCAAATTACCACGCATTATATAGCCACATGTCGTATTACCACGCGTTGTACCACCTCGCGTTATATTGCTACGCGCTTATTTACCATACATTCAATTACTAAGCATTGAATAATCATTCGTCGATTTACCCCGCGTTAAATTACCACACAATCATACGATACAAGACCTTAACTTTCTATCCATCTCCTATCCATATGTAATTTGAAGAAATCATCTGCCACAATTTCCAAAGATGAAGAATACAACAGTCTACTACAATATTTTCAACCTACTATTTCACCTAGAAGATTCCAAAAACCTTAGTATCACAGAACCCTATGCAATGTCAAATTACTAAAGAAAATGAAAGATCTATCTTGTGAAACTGTCGACTGCATCAAAACTGCCCCAAATATGTCTCGATTCCGAACATTTCCGCATTCTTCAATGTTCTTTAAAACTCTGAGAACTTCGGAGCAATGGGTAAAATTTGGTGAGACAAAGAATTTCACACACGTTTCGAGGCAGCTCGTCTTCGAAGGTACAAGGTCCCTGGATAAGGTGAAGCGTAACTCAACCAAGACAGGTTGCATCGGGATGTTATGGTAAACATACAGCGAAAGATCTCGCACCTAGGTGTGAGACCGGGCTCGAAGTTTGCCTGCGTAAACAGACAAGAGGACGGAGTTTATGTTTCTGTCTCAAATTCCTTACATGCAGCCGCATAACCCCTTCGAGCGATAATGCACCGTAACGTTTAACGACTTCGTCAAAGAGGTACCGGGTTGCCTCGATACTGTTTGCACATCGTCTTTTTTAGAGGGTCACGGTCCAAAAGTTTGGCAAGACGATTATCGAATCGCCTATAAGCGTCTGCGTTTGTCCGTCGCGTTAATATTCGTCTCGGGACGGAAAATATTCCTCTCCTAAAAAGATCCGTTTGCGATCTATGCCGGTCTAAATCACGTTTTAAACACCGGCACACAAACTTTTATTGCTGTTCTTAACGACCTCGTAGAATCGACCGGTTATAAACGTTTCGGCTGTTCTTGTATTGCATAAATATTCCAGTGTTAATTCGCTCCACTTATGATCTTATTTGGTCGTTGCATAAAAACTGCCATAAAGTAACGCTTCTCTATCGAACTTGACATTTCAAATTACTTGGACAAACGTTTTGATATTTTGAAGATGGTTGCTGAAGAATGCAAGTAAATATGGTGTTTCTGAGAGGATCTTCTATGACATTGACATTCAATGACAAAATTTTCCCCCAAAAAATGCCTTTTCCTTCTACTCATTTTTTTTAGAAATTCAATTAAAAATACAGAGTTGAAGAATGCAAGTAAATATGACACTTCTGAAGAAAATCATCTTCTATGACATTGACATTCAACGACAAAATTTTCCCTCAAGAAATGTCTTCTACTTCTACTCTTTTTTTTTAGTAATTCAATTTGAAATACAGAGTCTAACATTTCATATAAAATTATTTCAAAGTACCCAGCTTGTTTTTCAAAATAAACCTATACGATTGTATTAATACAATCCTTATTTTGTTATAAAACAGTCAGTTATCGATAACGATTATTAAAGTCAACGAACGATAAGATCCTTCAGAAACATTCGTGAAAAGTTTATGAAGCAATTTGGAAGCTTCGAACTAGTAGATTACAAGTTCTATTTTTACGTGGGCAAATGGACCGTTTAACATGTAACAATCCAACGCGGCGATTCATTTAATTCGAATTAAACGAGACGATAATAAATTTATTTGGAAGAATTTCTGGGTTCTTAGGTAACTATTTAGGGAATTTAGCTTACCGAGGGAATTCAGTCCGTAACTAGCTTGATAGACGGTCTGCGACGGACTGCTGATCGGGAGGCCAGAATTACCAAGACCCAAGCTGGAACCCAGGCTGCCCGTACTTTGTTGACCAAGTTGTCCTAAACTTTGGCCGAAACCGCCCATCGTCATACTTCCTTGGCCTAATTGTCCGAGACCTGTGAAACAAGTGATTTCGATTAAACGTCGATTTTACTCATATTGATTTTATTTGTCTATTATGAAGTTCATCGGCACGACAAAAATCCTCAAAGAAAATTTTAACATGCTACAAAATTTCGTGAGATATCAAATGAAGAGTAAAGACTGTCATAGAGAGCGGTTTATTAGCTGGAGCAGTTTAAAAGAAGCAATAAAAATAATATCTTGAGGAAAAGATAACATGCAGTCGATCAAAATGTATGAAGTTTGCGGAATACAAGAAAAAATCCCAAAGAAAATTTTAATATGCCAAAAAATTTTATGAGACATCAAATGAAGAGTATAAGCTGCGATAAAGAACGGTCTATAACCTAAAGCAGTTTAAAAGAAGCAATAAAAATAGTATTGCGAGGAAAAGATGACACACAGTCGATCAAAATCCATGGAATCCACGAGGCAATTTAAACTGTCCTGCTCGATAGACACGCGGAATTGAATTAAAGACAGAATGCTATTGAGACTTCGTCTATGATCTGGCTATTTAAGACCTTGCACCCCTCTAGCTATTCTGTGGACCAATGATAATATGATTATACATGTTTGACGTGTGAAGTACGATTAAAATAGAGCAAGAACTTTCCTGTCAGCGGTGTAATTTCGCGTTTTATATTTTACTATTTGTTCGGTTAACTATAGTTGTGCTGGTATTGCTTTTTGTGGAGAATCAATTGGGAGGAAGGGTGTTTGTTAAAGGCGGTTAGGTTAGGGAGAAATGGGGATGATAGAAGAATGAGAAATAATAGGATGGGTTGTTGCATTTTTGTGTTGGTAGATTTTTAGGGTTGTGGATGTTTGTGTGGTTTGATGATTAGATGGTTGGATAAGTAGATTGCTAGGTGAGTAGATGGCAGGATGAGTAGATGGGTAAATGAGAAGATAGATAGATGAGTGGATTGCTAGATGAGTAGATGGCTAGATGAATAGATGGCTAGATGAGTAGATGGCTGGATGGGTGGATTAGTAGATTACTGGATCTTTAGATGCTAAGTTTCTAAATTACTACCTGCATAGATATCTACATCTCCTATTTTTACATCTTCCAATTTTTATATCTACAGATCCCAGTATTCCCAGATTTCTACATCCCCTGATTTCAATATACCTTGATCTCCAAATCTCCCAATTTCTATATTCCCGGATCCCTATATTTCCAGATTCCTACGTCTCCAAATACCTACATCACCTATTTTTACATCTTCTAATTTTTATATCTACAGATCCCAATATTCCCAAAATTTCTACATCTCCGATTTCAATATACCTTGATCTTCAAATCTCCCAATTTCTATATATTCCCAGGTCCTTATATTCCCAGATTCCTACATCTCCAAACACCTATATCCCTATTCCTACATCTTCAGATACCTACACCCTCTATTCGTACATCTTCCACTACCACCCTCACATCATCCAATTTCTGGCTTTCTTAATTTCTACATCTCCAAATACCTATATCCCCTATTCCTACATCCCCCAATACCCCTGAAGATCCCTAGACCCATCCTTACAATCATCTTCTGTGTCCTCCAACTCCTGCGTCCCCCAACACCTCCACATTCCAGGACCAACTTACATAAACCTTATTTGTCTACAAATCGTATTTGTCTATTGCAAAAATAAAAGTGAATGTATCTAACCTGTTCCCATTCCCCATCTCTCAGCAGATCCATGAAACATTCCAGCACCGCACAGGTCGGAGCCCATCGGGCCGAACGGTGGCAGGCCATGAGATGGCAGCAACGTGCCCGCGGAACGGTAAACCGGCGTGGACTTCCTCCTTTTTTTCCATTTTGCTCGGCGATTTTGAAACCACACCTGCAAACGTTCAATTATTCAAGGATTCCATCGAACTGGTAAGTGGTAGATATTATCGTCATAGAACATGGAACGGTCGCGTGACTGTTAAATTATTCTTGCGGTAAGTTATAAAAGTGTTAGATTGTTCTATGTATAAATTCGTGCTGCTTTCGTGCCGCGAGCTTCCCGATGCTAAAAAAATGTGGGCTATTTTAAAACATTCGGTTAGAATTAGATAAATTTAATACAGAAGCTGAAGTATAATTGCTTGTTATCGGTTTTTGCTTTAATTACTTATTCGTAATTAATGTTTACTTAAGGTATATTAATATATCATTATGATTAGTTTTTATTACGATTGGTATGAGAATAGAGTGCACGATGCATAAATCAAAGGATATCGGAAAACACATTTAAAACCCTGAAATATAATGTAAAAACCTTTGCACGATTCTAACCTATTAAGTTTCTATCACTCACTATATTTCATAAATTCATTTAATACGATTAAAATTCTTTTAGAGATTCAAATCGGAATTTTGCAGAGCGTGTTTTAAAATACAGGTGTCGACGCTATAATACTAAAAAATGGTATTCGAAAAGGTAATGTACATCGAGTAAATCGTGTCCTCTTTTGAGACGATTCTTTCCCGAAAGCAAATTCGGCGCGAGACGTTAAGATGTCCCTGGGTGTTACGACAATATCTTCGACCCCAGGGCGAGTAGCTATTAGCCGACGTTATGAGCTGTTGATTCTGGCCACGTAGTGGCCCCCTAAGCTGCCGGGGTCCCGGGGACTTGATTTATTGATATCGCATGCAAAGCCCACCCCTGTGTTCTCCGATATACCCTCGGCCTACATCCCCACCATCCCCAACCTCTTCCACCCCTTGTTCCACGGACTACAGTCCCTTTCCTGGCACGGTAAAGCGCGCTATAGCCATCTCATATGTGCCCATAAATTAGTACTTTAGCATTAGAGCACGGATCTGCGCTTGCGCCTCCGACGCACAACGTAGCAACGCGTTTCGTACCTGCGAGAGTAACCGAGCTTTGCTTCCGGCACGCCAAGAGGAAACGAGACAAACCAACCAGCTCGAGGGGTGGAGACACCCTCTGCTAACATGCAGGGATTATACGAATCTAATTGGATATATGGGATTTACACGCTCCACTGTACTCCAGGTATTGCCGGAAAGCGATCGTCGGATTTCTAACGCGAAGACGCTTTATTATCAGACATCAACTTCCCACGGAATGAAAACTCTTGTTCTAACTATACATTGCCTTTTGGATGTTGATTTTCTTCGACAACATCCGAGTTACATTTAGATAGAAGGTATTCTTATGTGGACTATCTTGTGTGCTTCATTAGCTCTCTATAATCTCATATGATCATTCATATGATTCTCACATGTCATGGACTGTCTACCTATATTAGAGTTATCACATGATTTCGATGAATTGTGGTACAATGGTATAATTTCGTAAGTCTTCAAAAAATCTTCACAATTAAAGTCCTGAACTTGACCATACAAGTAGGTTTACTTGAAGGTACATTCTATGACCGCTGAAGTCTAACAATTTCAGATGTGCTGGCAAATTATAAAGAAAGATTGTGTTTACTGTACTGACTGTCTTAAAATAATGTATGATAATTGAACAGGCACGTTTATTAACAATCCTCATGTGTTTCATTATGTTCTTTGCAACTTTGTACTATTAGGTTGTGTTTAGAGTAGACAAGTAGTCAGACAAGTTACCAGACAAGTAACTAGTACTGTCAGTATCCAAGAGTCAAACTTATCAGGTCTTTATTTTTAATCTTATCTGCTTGTCTGGCTACTTGTCAGCTAGTTTTTGTGCTTCCTAGCTACTTGTCTAAAAATTTTAAGGATGAAAGGTGTACAAGTTGAAAATTATAAAAATGGCGCCCTTCAGCAGTTGAGTGTTTTGTGTGTTTTAACACAAAGTCTGACAGAAAATATTAAACGCTACTCAGCAATCAATCTAAGTCTGATTGCAAGCACTAAACTTGATCACTTAGTGTGATCACATGTGTATGTGTCAGAAGTGTAGAACGTGTGTCATCCTAGCATAAACAGTCTAAATGAAAAAGAAGTAGAATAAGATTCCTGTGCACCATATTTACCAGATAGGACAAAAATGATTTGACCCGTATACCGTCTATGGGGATATCGGTTCATTTGGCGAAGCTTAGGAACATCTGGCACGTCTGTTGCCTCTCAAGGATGAACGCTCGTGACGAGAGAGTAGCATTAGAGCTGGATGGGTGTTAAGTGCATTGGGATCAAATCAGTGTCTATGGATCGCCCATTGGCGTAGCATTTAACGATAATACTGTCTATCTAAATCTGCAAAGATGAAATGTGTCGGAAAAGCTCGGTTGCGAATATTTGCTCAGGTAGCGTGACGAAAGAGGAATCGTTTAGGAAGCAATCTCGGTTCGAATATGCAAAATCCTCCCCCTCGATCCCTTTTGTCTTGCCGGCGTTGTCAATGTTTCTTGCCGGCGTTCGTGGGTGTGGTTGGCACGATTTCACGGTACAACTACAGCAGAACTGGCGGCTAAAAGCCCGTGGATAATTTGCTGTTACACGCCACGTGAGCATCGACGGCACCAGGCCAGAAGAGGGAAAAAGCACAAGGGACTGTCGCACGTATATATCGCGCATTATCACTTGCACCCTCCCTCCCCGCCGCGCGTGGCTGATGCATCCTGCATATGTACGCACGCTAGAACTTCCGTTAATTAACGCAGGTGAATGCTAATGACTCTTGTTACGAAATAACTGCACGCAAAACGAGAGCTTTCGTGCGTCCGACGATCGACGATCTCTTTACGCCCTGAACAGAAAATCTGATTTTTATTCAATACCCATATATCGAACTATCGTTAATAACCAACGTATAGAATACCTCGAATGACTCGCGGTTAGGGGCGATTACGAATACCAATTAAATTGCGTTAATTATAAATATGACGATACGGGTCGAGTAATCACGCGAAACTATCGTTCTCCATGACGACACGCGGACAAAGGTGGTTAGTTCGAATGTTTCTGCGCTAATTGCATACCTAGTGTGATCAATAGATCAGTGCTCGTTAAATTTCAGGCACTTTAAAAACTACCTATAGTCGCCGTTAAATGACCTCGCGAATCGATACGCTTTCCTTTCACGTCATCTGTGGACGCAACTATTTGGACAATGACGCTGTAAATTATTCTCGAATGCGGTCTTCGCGGAATTCGCGATTAATATTGATGTACATTCACTAATCAACATTTCCATATTACTAGAGGCCTCTAATGTATTACATATAACACCAGCATTTTTGCGATATTTTTCTTTGTTCTCCGAGGAGCGAGAATGTCTGTCGGGTGCATCGTGTTCTCTAAGACAGCAATCTTCTACATTTTCTGCTGAGGGGTTGTGCATCCAACGTGCATGAATAAAATAAAATTTCGAAGATGGTCAGTTAACACAGTAAAGGTGAAGGTTTGAGGCAAACGTTCGGATCGAAGGTCCACACCTTTCGATGACTAAGGTTGCTTTCGTGCGGGTCAATTAGGAACATTGCTTTTTAAAAATTGATCAATCACTTCGGTTGTGAGGCGCGTGCGCCAGAGCAGCTGTTCCCAGGAAGCACCTGGAATCACGGTGAGGGTGAAAACGAGCTGAAATGCTCTCGAATAATCAGCATCAGTCGCGATGACGGCCACGTACCGACGTTCGATTGGAACGAACGAGCCGTTCACCGCTATCCGGCAATACCGTGTCGCATTTCTATGTCCGTAAGGGAATTTCTATCGTCGGTCAGCCGTATTTCGCGTTTTCAACGAGCCCGCCATGGAACGCGTTTCGAAACCGTGAGAATTTATTAGAACGCCCCATTCACGCGGTTTAATTACGCTCTTCGTTAAACGAGATTTACTTTTTCTGCCGGTGATGCGAGCTGCGGATTTATCCGACGGTTCCAACCGACCCACCAAGTTGACGCGGAATTTGCATAAACGATTATTGTCAGGCGCGATTCATTGTACACGAGTGGACCGAGGAGTCCGTGTGAATTTAACGTTCCGTTGCGAGACCGCTAACGCGTCACCCCTAGATAATTAGCTAATTAGAACGTCGTATCTGCCGCTCATGGAAAATTACCGTTTTCGAAAGTGGGCCTCTGGAATTTTTTTTTATTTTTATTTTCGTGGCCTTCGCATTTTCGTGTTCGGGCAGATTTGCGTTTCACGGTTTTGGGATTTTTTAGGTTTTCGACTGTGGGAGTTGGAGAATTTTGGAATTTTTGGAATTTTTGGAATTTGGAAATTTAGAAGTTTGGAGATTCATATTTTGTAGTTTTGAGACTTTCGAAGTTTGGGATGTAGGAGTTTTGGGATTTTGGAAGATTGATACTTTGTAGTTTTGGAACTTTAGAGCTTTGGGACTCTGGTATTCCCATTATCAAAACTGTGAAGGTTGGAATTTTTGAGCTCTGGGACATTGGAAGATTGGGACATGTGAGCTTTGGGACCTTGGAAGATTGGGACTTGGGAGCTTTGGAACTTGGGAGTTTTGGGACTTGAGAGCTTGGGACTTTAGAAGATTGGGACTTGGGAGCTTTGGAACTTTAGAAGATTGGGACTTGGGAGCTTTGGGACTTTGAAAGATTGGGACTTGGGAGCTTTGGGATTTTGGAAGATTGGAGCGTGGGATATTTGGGATTTTGAAAGATTGGGACTTGAGAGCTTTGGGACTTTGGAAGATTAGGACTCTGGAGCTTTGGGATTTTTAAAGATTGGGACTTGAGAGCTTTGGGACTTCAGTGCTTTAGGACTTTGGAACATTGTTCAACCTTTAACCCTTCAGTGGATAGCTGATTGTACATCCATTTGTATATTGCTTCTGAACAATTCAGTATATTATATCTCATAAAAATATTACACAATTTCTCCATTTTATACTAATACCAATATGCTAATATTACAACCTACATGAAT